CATTGTAGTCAGCTTGCGGGGGTGGTGGTGGGTTTCTTGGTTGTTCTGGTTGTTCCTCCGCTCCACGGATGAACTCCGTCAGTAGCCCTCTTCGTATGAGGCCTTCAATTTCGTATCGTAGCTCCCTGCAATCTTCTGTCCAGTGGCCCGTTTCTCTGTGGAAGTCGCAGTGTTTTTTTGGATCGCGCATGTGCGATAGGGCCTTCAAGGGCGCGGGCCAGTTGATTTTTTAACCTTTCTCGTGGAGAACGTGGAACACATTTTTTACCGACTCATTGAGTGGGGTGTAGGCGTTTGACGGGCGTCTATCGGGTGATCGTCCCTGCTGAGCTTGTTATGGTGGGGGTGGAGGGTGGCGCTTTGGTCCGCTGTGTAACTGTACCAATTGCACTCGCGGCACCGGGAGCTGCCTCCGTCCCTAGTCTTCTCGGGGCGGTTTCGCGGGTTCGAAGCGCCTGACGGTAGGGGTGGGCGTTCGGTCGGTTTGGTTTGAACCGAACCGAAACAGAGCATACCGGGTCCCCGAAACTGTCTGGAAGCCAAACCGAGTTCGAACCGAAAATTAATTCGGTTCGGTACACCTGAACAAGTTAAATATCTGTTCGGTTCGATTTTAACACACAAACCGAAGCTTTATAAACCAACTCTCTCTCTCTCCCAGTCCCACATACCCTAACCCTCGCCGTTTCCCCATTTCGATCAAATCTCTCTCTCTCTCTCTCTCCCTCTCCCCCTCCCCCTTCCAACAAACGCAGTCGATGCAGAGAAGAAAAGAGCGGTGCTGCGATGGTGGTATCCCCTCCGTCTCCCGACTCAGCGACGAGCAGAAAGCAGCGGTGCTGCGGTGGTCCTTTTCCATCTGGCGACTCAACGGCAACGGCAATTGATGCGGAAATCAGAACACAACGCGGCGACAAGCGAGCACAGCGATTGAATGTTTAAGGTCAGTATGAGTGTAGATCTAAGCATGCATGTCATTTTTTTGTTTGATTTTCACGTTCGAGTTTCAATAGCATCATCGCTCTTTTCGATTCAGGAGAAGAAAGTTTCGATTTTGGGGAAGAAACCTTTAATTTTCAATATTGATTTTGATGCATTTGGGGTTTTATGCTTTGAATTTGGGTTTCTGGTCTCAGGGAGGAGAAGAGATCGGAGAGAGGGGAAATGGCATCGACCCATAGAGGAGAAGTTTGCGGCGACAAGGCCAAGAGATGATGGAAGGATTCGGTGGACGGCGACGATGCTTGACGGTCGTTGGCGCCTTGGCGGTGGTGATGCTTGACGGCGGTGATGCTTGGTTTTTGGTCTTCTTTGTTAGGTTTATGTTAGCAGTATATATGAAAGAGTTGTGGGCTTGTGGGATTTATTTTTGGGTTCTGTTTGATTTGGGCTGTTAGAATTGGGCTTCAAGTGAGAGCTTGAGTAGTCAGTTGGGTTGTAAGATTGGGTTTAATTTTTTGTTCGGTTGATCGGTCGGTTGTTCGGAATTCGGTTTCGGTCTATATACCCCTGGTTCCCGAAATAAAGGGTTTTGGCTTCCGAATTCCGAACCGAACAACACTAATTCGGTTTCGGTTCGGTCTAATTCGGTTTCAGTCCGGTTCGGTCCGGGTTTACCGAACCGGATGCCCACCCCTACCTGATGGAGCCCGCGCCGAGGGTTTCTTCCAGTGTGATTGACTTCTCGATTTTCATCTCTAGCTCTGTTGATAGCGTGACGGGTCTTTTTGCCAATGCCCGCTTGAGCTCCATGTTGGTGGTGGCTTCCATAAGGTGATGGGCGGCGGTTTCAGGGGTGAGATCGCGCACGGCCATTGCCACCCTGGACCATCTGGCGTAGAATGCTCGCAGGCTTTCTCCATCCTTTTGCCTGATGTCTATCAGCGCCTTGAGGTGGAGAGGCCTTCTTTTTTGGGACGCGAATTTCGTTGTGAACAAGAGTATGAACTCCTCGAACGAGCGAATGATTCCGTTTGGGAGTCTGTTATACCAATCGAGGCATATTTCGGAGAACGTTGATGGGAAGGTTCTGCATAGTGCTGCGTTGGAGTTTATTTGGAGTTGCATCCGCAGGCAGAAGGTGCTTACATGGTCCACGGGATCGGTCGTCCCGTTATACGTTGGGAGGGCGGGTGGTATTCCGCTCAGGTGCTCCGTCATGATTTCCGCGCTTAGCGGTTGGTGGAGGGCCTTTCTGGGTGGGTTGGGGCGGTATTGCGGGGATAGGTGTTGCTCCAGGAAGCTGAGGTCCGCCCTGCCTGGCAGCTCGACTTGTTGCGTTTCCCACGCGGGAAATTCGGCCGACGCTGGTTGTGGTAGCGGGGCGGTCCCTGACGCCTCTCCTGGCGCTTGTTGCGGCGAGACCGGTGCCACGTCCACTGTCGTCGCGGCTTCTTTGCTCATCATGAGCGCTATGACTTGGCTCGTTTGTTTTTGCATGTCGGCTATGACGTTGTTTTGCTTCGCCATTAGCTGCCTCATTTCTTTGGCTGTCAGCTCGGGCTCCTCTTTTTCGATGAGCACCGCGTTTAGGTTGCTAGTTTCCGCGAACACCCTTGGGTTGGTCATTGCTTTTATGGGCGATGCTTCGTTAGGTGAGTTGGGGTTATGTTCTGCCATTGGTTGATTTTCTGTTGCTTCTCTACTTGGCCCCACGGTGGGCGCCAATTGTTTGAACCTAACTGAGTGTAGGAGTGAGGCTCGGGGAAATGGGTCAAGAAGAGTAAACTAGGGGGATTGGAGGTGGATTTAAGAACAAAGGAAAGAGAGAATGTAAGCCAAGAGAATCAGTAATAAGAGCCGGTCTCGGACTCAAGAACAAAGGGAGGATGTGGCTGAGAGAATCAGTATCAAGAGAGAGAAGTAGCTTGTTTTTAGAGATAGAGTTGCCAAAATCGGATCCCCTTTACCCACCAGAGTAAATGCCATATTTATAGGCTACATGGTGGTGGGTGAGTTACATGATGATGTGACCACTGACATGTCAGGGGTTTAGGCCACGTCCCTGCGTAGGAAAGGACATTTAGCCCATGCTTAGCCCATGACTATACCTAGGATTATGATGTTGACCACTCTTAGGCGAGGGAGCGCGGCGTCGTTTTCGTGGTTTCCCGGTTTGGTCAATGCCTGACCTGAACGTCGTCGTTCGGTGTTCGGGTGCAGCTTTCGAGCGTGAGTTATGGTCGCGTCGCGTCGGTGTTGGCGCGCCTTGCACTTACTACGGCGCCGTTTAGGGTATTTCCTTAGCGCTGCGAGATCCGAGTCATATACCCAACAATTACAATTACTAATGTGCATATATATTTATTGTTCTGGTATAATAATAATGAATGATACGGTACAAATGGAAAATAATGATTAATTTTTCTGGTAATTTACTATTTGTCTTTAACATAAGGTGACATACATTTTGAGTTTATAGTATATGTTTAGATCTTTTAATTATCCTAAATAATGCTTGCATGACTATGAAAAATTGATATTTTTTTATTTCTTTATCTATTTTTTACTTTTGACGGTATACTTTGAAAAAGATTCGGTCTCCCAATCTCTAAATTCTGTCTTCGGAGATTTGCGTTATTTGCTTGTAATATTTGTGCGAGGTAAATCCGTTGAAGAAACAGATACGATGGTGTGATTTGCTTGTTATATTTTTATTAGTCAGTTGATACGACTAGTTCATCAATGGAAAACAAAATAAGTGATTTTCTTTCAACAAAAATATACAAATGACTCATGTTTTTGTCAGTTCTTATCAATTTTAACTCTTCTCTTTTTCATAAAACCTATACTAACCCTTTTATATTTTGTTTCATAAACCAAATACTTTCCGTTATTTTCTATTAATACTTTTCAATTATTTTCTAGTAAAGTAATAGTTACTATTTTGAAGACTGATTTCAAATGTAGGTTATGTCGATTGTAAAATGGTATACTTTGGGATTGTTAACTTTGTAAGAAAGTTAACATAACTTATCGTACAATAATAAAGGTATTATTAATATCTAAATAATATATTATATGCTTTTTTGAAAAATGAATTCTGCTTTCATGATCAGCTTTATTAGGATAGCAAATAAGAAAATGAAACATATTGCATGTAATAACATATTAGTAACATTAAACATATGACTTATTAAAAAAAATTCATCTAAAGCTTTTAAAGAACAATACATTTGAATATTTCTACATCGTCAGATATATACATTTGTTAAATATCTATACTTACCAACTTATACTTTGTTCAAATTAATTTCAGTACGTGAAAAATAAGGAAATGTGCAAAGAAAAACATAGGTGAAGCTCAATTTTAAGTGCAGAGGGGCAAAAATGGAAAAAAAATGCAATACCTTCGAATCGTATGGGATTATAAATTATAAACTCAAATTAAATACTTAGAGCAGTGTGATAATCTTTTCTCAGATACAAATAACTCGACCTCTACAAAGGGTACTTTGGAGGGGAAAAACAGCCAAATAAGTAGGGTTGGCAATCAGTGTAGTTGTGCCTACATTAATTAGAACCGCACCGTTTTAATATGATTAACGATTTAACCACAACTATATTGTCAGCCTTACAAACAAGAATAGACGTCATATTATATAGTCGGGTAGTTGGTTTTGTTATTCCCGCAGCTCCAATTCCCAACTTCCCTCATAGGGGGGAAATCTCAAAATATGTCTAATATTAAAAATTACCCTAAAATAAATTCCTAAACTACAGTACTTATAAAAAAAAATCTCAAAATACCTAATTTTGAAGAGGATCGGGGCACATACCCTCGAACCACACACTGCTGGATCGAGGGTGACAATCTCGAACCACCTCAAGTATTCTCCCAAAACGATTTGGAGGAACTTTGCTACTTCGACTCCTCATCCTCTTCATGCTTATGATTATTACTATCACTCGAGACGACATCGTTGCTTTCTTTACCGGCGAAGGATTGATCTTCCGTCCGCGGCTTGGGATGCGGCGGAGCCAGAGACGGTTTCGGGCGGATGGCGGCGACGGCTACGACTATGGTGTTGATGGCGGTGAAGGATTTTATCGTCGACCTAAGAGGTTGGTGCCGGGCGAGGCGGATCAGTAAGGTTGTTGTTGCTGGTGGTGTCGATCGAATTCAAAGAGAAGGAAATCGTGAGAGAAGGAAATCCGAGGACTAATTCCTAAACTAGGTTCAGAACATTGATCAATCACCATTAAGGAGGCTCGAGGTTGTAACCCTCGATCCATGTTGTTCGAGTGTATGTGCCGTGATCTACTATGTAGTTTGTATGGTTCGAGTGTATGTGCCTCGTTCTATCGTGTGGTTCGAGTGTATGTAACTCGATCCGCTTCAGACATAAGTATTTTGAGAAGTTCTTTTGCAAGTGTTGTAGTTTAGAAATTTGTTTTATTATTAGCTGTATTTAGAGAATTTTTCCCTCCCACTCTTTCTGTCTTTCATTCTGCTCCATTACTCTCGCACGATGTAAAACATTCCCATCTGCTTTATGAGATTCTGATATTCTATCTTCCCCCATTTTTCTCTGTTCTTTTTCTATCCTCCAATGGACTGATATTTTTTTCTTTTCAAGATTGACAACGCCCATTATTATACAAAAGTGTTAAAGAGTCTGTTTGTGTTTGCGGTTTGTTGCATGCATGTGCAGAATCCTTTTCTTTTCTCCTCCTTCCCTCCCTGCAAATTCTCTCCAGTCTTATTAACATGTTTCCCAATTAGAATAAAGAGGGGAAAAGCTTTTTGGTTTGGCGGAATCCTCCATTATTGTTTTGTTCTTCTTCCGTCTCTTTGTTTCTTCTCTGCCAATTGATATAAAGGAGGGGGAAAAATGGACCCAAACCATTGAAAAAGGTTCCCCTGCTTCCGATTCCAAAATGTTTGCCTCTGTTTCTCAAATTGGCCGGAAACCCGATGCGGATCAGACTCTTCTGAGTTTTTGCTTTCTTCCTACACAGATTGCTTCCCTGAGCATTTATGGGTTCGTTGGTTCTTCATGGAGGCGAGCAAACCAAGCTCCATCCTTCAACTCCGGGTAATAATCTAAAACGATATAAAAACAGGGGACTCTGTTTTTTGGTATTTCTTTTACTCCACTGTTTCTAATTTCTTAGCTTCTGCCTTTTCTTTTTCTGCAAGAACAATCAATGATACATTTTCCTTATTTATGCCATGGGGCAGGCTTATAATCTAGGATATCGTAGAGCTCAGAATCGGACATGGGAGGTGGGGATCAAGCTCCAGGATCTAGGATATTTATCTTCTCGGAACATATTACTAATGGAGATGATCAAAGGTGCAGACTTTGATCTGGGTTTTCTCTGGGGAGGCTGAGTTTGTAAACAAAATTGATAGGAGATACATAAAGCTATACATAGAAACAGAGAAACAGGAAACTCCCAGGAAAAAAAAAATAGTTTCATTTTATCCAAATGGATGAAACTCCGACGAGCTCCCCGGCGGCGGCGATGCAGCACACGCCGGCGCCGAGGAAGAAGATCGTGAAGCAGCTGACGGGGAAGAAAGGTGACACCTCCCTGCACTCGGCCGCAAGGAGCGGGAACATGGCCGCCGTGGTGGAAATCCTCTCCGGGACCGACGAGGAGGAATTGAGGGAGATATTGGAGATGCAGAACCAGTCCGGCGAGACCCCACTCTACGTGGCGGCGGAGTACGGGTACGTTGACTTGGTCAGGGAAATGATCCGGTACTACGACCTCGCCGACGCCGGGATCAAGGCCAAGAATGGATTGGACGCCTTCCACATTGCCGCCAAGCAATCGGATATAGGTAAATTGTCAAATCTTGTTTTATCTCTTCTATGTCTAGTTTTTAGCAGAGAGCATGTATACAGGTCAAGTGAATGAAAGAGATTCAACTCGTCAAAGACTTTTAATCTCTTTTTTTTTTTTTTTAAAGACTTTTAATCTCTAGTTTTCTTCAGTCCAGATGAATTAAATTTAACTCCACTCGATTTTTCATTTCCAATTTTTTGACAAACAATGTGTGAGTTATTTCGATTTAAATCTAATCGTTGGCACTTTGAGTCTGTAGATATTTGTTCATACAAATTTGTTGAAATGTTCTTCGTCAACACCTTTAGGATTTTACTCGTAAACAAATTGTTTAGGTGGAGTATCTTGTTCCAATAAAAATTGTTCTTCCAATTCAATTCGTTTTGATACCTACATTTTTTTCCAAATAGATAAATAAATAAATCAACTCGAATCATATTCCAATTGATGTCAACTCCACATTTTTTTTCTTTCTAGATGTATTGAGGGTGCTAATGGAGGCTCACCCAGAGTTAGCAATGACGGTAGATTTGTCCAACACGACGGCGTTGCACACGGCGGCGATGCAAGGCCACATTGAGATAGTCAACTTCCTTCTGGAAGCAGGGAGCAGCATCGCCACTATTGCTCGGAGCAACGGCAAGACTGCACTGCATTCCGCCGCCAGAAACGGACACGTGGCGGTCGTAAAAGCACTGGTAACGGCGGAGCCGACGATCGCGACGAGGACGGATAAAAAGGGCCAGACGGCTCTTCACATGGCTGTTAAAGGACAGAATATTGAAGTCGTGGAGGCGTTGATCAATGCCTCGCCTGAGACGTTGAACTTGGTCGACAACAAAGGCAACACTCCCTTGCATATCGCCAGCCGGAAAGGCAGAGCTCCGGTAAAAAAACTCATTTGATACTCTTTGCTAATCAAAATTGTTTTTTAAAAATGTTACCAAAAACGCTTCCACCTAGAATTGCACTAGTGATGACAATTTTGTCAAATCCGTGGATATTTTACTATCCAAGCCAATAGGATTGGGTATAATATCCAAATAAATGGTAAATGGGTAGAGTTTGATGAGTTTATAAATAAATTGGGTTGTTTTTTTTAATCTACAAATTTTGATTTGTACCCATACTCATTTACAAATTAAAGTTTAGTATCAAAACTTAATAAATCTTTAGATTTAGTATCTAAATATAATTTTTTCATATAAGTCTTCAAAAAAATTAAAGACAATTTACATTTTAGTACCTAAATTTTTGTGTATTACATTTGGATGCCTAAACTTTTTTAGTCTTACAAATAGATCTAATTATATGTAGTTAAAAAGAACCTCAAGTAAATGGGTATTCATACCCAATCCATATCCATTTATAGTATGAAAGCAATATCTATAGCACCCAACTCAAACTCATATATACTTCACCCATACCATATCCTTAATCAATACTCAATAGTTTTATTTGGATTTGAGTAAAATTACTCATGGATGGATGGGCAATAATTGTCATCCCTAAATCGCGCTTTTCACGTACAAGTGTCGTCCAAAATCAATGCGCTTTACTAACTTAAAAGCTTACATTTTTACAGTTCTATCCCACCAAAATACTTCAACAACGTAGAATCGCGATCTTAACTGCAATTGTTTGCATCGATTCGACACTTTTCTTTTTTTCACATTCAAAATTTTTTTTTCCCCCCTTCTTCAACCTACAGATAGTAAAACTGCTGCTCCAACACAAGTCAACGGACACGAAAGCGGTGAACCGAACATCAGAGACGGCGCTGGACACCGCCGAGAAGATGGGCCAGCCGGAGGTGAAAGCCATCCTCCAAGAGCACGGCGTCCAGAGCGCGAAAGCCCTAAACCCGCAGGCCCGAAACCCGGCCCGCGAGCTGAAGCAGACGGTGAGCGACATCAAGCACGAGGTCCACTACCAGCTGGAGCACACCCGGCAGACCCGGCGGCGCGTCCAGGGGATCGCCAAGCGGCTCAACAAGATGCACGCGGAAGGGCTGAACAACGCCATCAACTCCACCACCGTCGTCGCCGTCCTCATCGCCACCGTTGCCTTCGCCGCCATCTTCACCGTCCCGGGGCAGTACGCCGACGACCCGACCCAGATGCAGCCGGGGCAGACCCTGGGCGAGGCCAACATCGCCCGGCAGGCGCCCTTCATCGTGTTCTTCCTCTTCGACTCGGTGGCGCTGTTCATCTCGCTGGCGGTGGTGGTGGTGCAGACGTCGGTGGTGGTGATCGAGAGCAAGGCCAAGAAGCAGATGATGGCGGTGATCAACAAGCTGATGTGGATCGCGTGCGTCATGGTCTCGGTGGCGTTCCTGGCGCTGTCGTTTGTGGTGGTCGGGGACCACGAGACGTGGCTGGCGGTCAGCGTGACGATTATTGGGACGGTCATCATGGTCACCACATTGGGGACGATGTGTTACTGGGTGGTTAAGCATCGGATCGAGGCGTCGAAGCTGAGGAGTATCCGGCGCAACTCGATGGGGAGTCGGTCCAAGTCGATGTCGGCTTCGGTTATGTCGGATTCCGAGTTGCTCAACAATGAGTTCAAGAACATGTATGCCATTTAGTGGATCCTGACCCTAACTAGTGTCCCTGATTTGTACTTGTATATGTTTTTTTGGCCGAATTAAGTGTAGAAATGATGATGTAACGCTAACTTGGCGGTGCAAACTTCAGATTTATGAGTACAACAATGACTTGTGTATATGAGCGAAATTGTAGTTTAGTCATGGTTTAATCATTTTATATTATTAAATTAATTGTCCATCAATTTAGCTTCCAGTATCAGAGTTTTTTTTTTTTTTTTTTTTGTAGAAGTGCCGATACAATATGGTTTTTCAATCCGTAACGGACACTTCGTCCAAATTCAAAGTCTTTTATCACTTTCTAAAATATTAACTGGATTGCATGACCTTCCCTGAAAGACGATGATCTCAAGTCAAGTTGGTAATGATGTGGTAGAGTAGTATGAGTGGCTGAGTGAGAAGGGGACATTAATTGTTAGTAGGGCTGGGCATGCGGGCGGATCATCCGCGGGTTTGGGCCGACCCATCCGCATTTGACCCGAATTTCGTTAAGTGGGTGGGTCTGTGGGTGGGTGATGGGTTGCGCTGGGAGCCATCCGCCGGGTGGTGGGTGGGTTGTGGGTGAGTGTGCGGGTGACCCGCTCAACCCAACAGCAAAAAAATCAAAGTCGTTGGCGCTAGAGAGAGGAGAGTGGAGACGTTAGATATAAACTCGGACTGCTCTTGGAGTTTGAACGTCAAAGCCAACATTCCAAATAGAGATCCCCTCTTCTTCCCTTTACTTTTTCCTCTAATTCTTGTGCCTAGATCACCGCTCTTTCCTTTGTGGATTTCCTTAGTTCCTTGCACCTAATAATCGTCTCAATCTGTAGAAAACTCTTTCATAATAGAATTTCTATCCAATTTAAGAACTAATTCGATATTTTTCGCCCTATTTCAACTTCTTGTTTCCCTCGATGATTCTCTTCACATATTATTATGTCAAGTTGACTCCTTTATATTATATGCATTGTGATGTGGGTGAACCCACAAACCCACCCGCATCATCCACCATCCGCCCAACCCAACCCGAGACTAAATGTGGGTGGGTGGTGGGTTAAAAATTATCAATCCGTTTAAGCGCGGGTGGGTGCATTTTATGGTCAAAATCCACCCGACCCACCCAATGCCCACCCCTAATTGTTAGTGTGATTGTGTCACTTGTGTACTAGGGTGCATTGGGTGTTTCTTGGTGGCTCATTTTTGCAGTTAGTGGTGGGAACAAAGCGATATTGTTAAGAGGGATCTCTCACACACAACACTACAAACAGTATGATACATTGAATGTCTGGTAATTGCCATAGGTAGTGTTTGTATAATCGTACTATAGAGGTGATTTGACGAAACAAATTTTCTATTGAAAGCTAAATTAGTAAGTGTTAGAAATATGCAATTATCTCTATTATTACTTCTATATATATATATATTTATTTATTTATTGTTATTAAAAGTACTCATTGCAGGAGGGGTTAATAGAATAGAGAAGTATAATTAGAGTTTTTGTTAGGATTTTTTGGTATTTCCCTATATATATGTACTTGGGTTATTTTGTCATAATTAATCAATGGAGAATAGTACAAATTAGTTATCTCTAATATCTCAAACCATATTCTCCAATCTTATGAATCTTGTCTCTCCTTTGATCCTTTCCCTAGAGCCGCCGGCCATTCTCTCTAATTCTGTGCAATTTCATCTTCTAAATTCATAACTCCAACTATCTTCTAAATCTTTTAAATCCCTAATTCTCGTCTTAATTATCTCCAAATAACCATATTTCTTAAAATGTGTAATTTTTAGCGTTATGAAATGGTTGAATCACAGTTAAACCACGATTTCAACACAAATATCATACCGCTTAATTTTTCTATACAACCTCTGGTACGGTTTTATCGTCTGTATCAAAGTCATGGGTTGTTGGTGGAGTGAGTGTTTGGATGAGCTAATCAATTCTGTGATCATGGAATTGTTGCAATTTTGGATGCAGCTCTTCTGCCTAAGAAAATTTCAAGAGAGTGTATATTGTCTGCTCTAATTTTCTTTGGCATGGGGAATGAAGGTAGAGCAAAAATTGGATGTGATAGATTAGCACGGCCGAAATTGGAGGGTGGTCTTGGAATAAAGGATATATTGGCTTGGAATAGAGCATGTTCTATCAGGATGATTTTGGTACTAATGATGAAAAGTGGAACTATTTGGGTTGCCTGAATGTGGTGTTATAAGGTGAAGCAAGGTAGCATTTGGACTATGAGTATTAGTCCTAGTAGCTCGTGGGCATGGAGAAGAGTTTGAAACTTAGGCCTCTGCTTCTAGCTCATTTGACGATGTCTGGTACTACACCTAGTTGGGATGGAAAGTTGATGCATGTGTATAGAGTGTCTACAGTTTGTAATACTCTGAGAGCAAGATACTAGGAAGTGGATTGGGCTGGTCTGGTTTGGGGGAAAGGCTACCTACCTAACAACAGTTTTCTTGTGTGGCTCGTCTTGCTTGATGGTATTGTTACTCGAGATAAATTGTTAAAGTGGGGCAGGATAATAGGTGGATCTTGTTTTCTATGACACTCCTCTGTTGAAATCAGGGAGCATTTGTTTTTTCAGTGTAGTTTCTCAATGCAGGTGGTTACTTGTTGGAGAGATGTCCACCAGTTTTGCAGATCGAGTTGGCATGACACTGTTAATGTTGTAGTTGATTTAAGTAGCAAGAAGACACCATCTGGGAGGATTGCTGGACTTTTCTGGTGCACATCTATCGGCTATGTGTGGCGCAAGCGGTGTAATAGACAACATCAATCACCGCCCAGAGATGCTATTAGTCGATTGATTCACTCTGATTTATTGTATCTTGGTAGTGCAAGTGGTAGTCTGCAGTCAGATCTTAGTATTGTTGGCCTTATTAGTTGATGTGGTAGAGTAGTATGAGTGGCTGAGTGAGCAAGGGGACATTGCTAGTGCGAGTGTGTCACTTGTGTACTAGGAATGCATTGGGTGTTTCTTGGTGGCTCATTTTTGCAGTTAGTGGTGGGAGGGAGCAAGGGGAGACATAATTGTTAGAGGAATCTCTCTCACACAACACTAGAAATGGGACGACACATGGAATGTCTGGTAGCTCCAAGGTAGTGTTTGTAAAATTGTATCATGCAAGTGATTTGATCGGAATTTTTTTTTATTGAAGGCTAAATCGGTAAGTGTTAAGAAATATGCAATTATCATTATTATTACTGTTATATTTTTATGGTTATGAAAGTAGTCATTGTAGGGGTTAATAGAATAGGAGTATAATTAATTAGAGTTAATGATAGGATTTTCGAAAATTTTCTATAAATATGTACTTGGGTTATTTCGTCATAATTAATCAACGGAGAAGGTTACAAATTAGTTATCTCTAATATCTCAAACTCAATTCTCCAATCTTAGGAATCTTGTCTCTCCTTTCCCTAGAGCCGCCGGCCATTCTCTCTAGTTCTGTCCAATTTCATCTTCTAAATTCATATCTCCAATTACGTTCTTCCCTAAAACTTTTAAATCCCTAATTCTCATCTTAATTATCTCCAAATAACCATATTTCTTACAATATGTGATTTTCAGCTTTATGAAATGGTTGAATCACAGTTAAACCACGAGTTCAACACAATATATCCTACCGTTGAATTTTTCAGTACAACCTCCGTTACGATTTTACCGTACGTATCAAAGACATGGGTTGTTGGTGGGGTGAGTGTTTGGATAAACTCATCCCAACCTTTATATTAAATTAATATAATAAATTGAATTAGTCAATTTCATTTTGGGGGAGAAAAGTAATGTCATTATTACTATTTTATTTTTATTTTTTTGGTTAATACCTTAAATTGGTCCGAATTTTACACAAATAAACTATTTTGGCCCGTGTTTCTGAAATACCCATTATGGCATAAATTATGAACCAACTAGACTAATTTGGCTGAAATCGTGGATGACCGTTAAGATCTAAAGTTCAGACTCAAGAGCTTACGCGGACAACTCTTCTCAAGGTCAGCTTCATGTTGTCGAATAAAATGATTGTTTTTTTTTGCTTTTTAGATATAATGAATTTGAGAGTTTTTTTAATATGGGATAAGTAATTCATGATTCAAGGTAAAAATAATATTATCACCATGCCACATCACATAATCGCATCCGCATCACAATTTTTGCCACCCGTATCAGTATATTTAACAGTTAAACTAACGGATAGTTGTATGTTGAAAATTTGATTACTTTATGGTATTTCAAATAGTTTTGACTATTCATGTCCACTACTAGAAAGATTTGACTATTTTTGGGTTTTTTACCCAGCGATTGTACTTGGCTTTGGTTTATACTAGATTTGGTGTGCATAATGGGTTAGCTCTCTTTATGCATTTCTTATTTATATTTCTAGTATGCGTTGTAGTGTTTATAGTAGGGGTGTTCAAATGGTTACCGTGGTAATAATCAAACCAATTATACTTAAATTTCATTAACCATGGAATAAAATATTTTAACCAAACCATCCAAATTAACATGAAACCAAATTAATCAAACCAAAGTTTAATTGGTTTGGGTAATCGGATAATCGGATTAACCAAATAACATAACTTTACATGAATATAATTATCATGTTAATGAATAAAACATAACCATATGTTATTACTATCATAAACTATCATTATATATAAGCAATAATAATATGGCTAACCATCCATGATTCATAAATATTAAATGCATACAAATACCACTCATCCGGAAGTTAAAGCTCTCCTACAAAACACTTAAACTATACATAGTTTGTGGTGACTTTCATGGTATTGTACGTAATCCTAAAGTCTAGTAGTTGTCCAAAATATTTTGGTTTAGTAAATAGGCATGCACATTTAATTTTTGACCCATAATGCTTTAGTTTGTTGTGCACATGGAAATAAAATAGGAAATCACGAAAATTTGGTTTGGTTGGTTGCATGGAAGTATAAATAATTTTGTATATTAGGTGTATTATTAATTGGTTAATTGGTTTCATTGTTTAGCAGTGTTGAAAACAAACCAAACCACCTAAACCAAATAAGCTAAATTGTTTAACCAAACCAAACCAATTATCAAAATTAAACAAAACAAATTTATCGAACACTGTCGGTTAATATGGTTACCACGGTAACCAATCCGTTTGAACACCCCTAGTTTATAGTATACATTACTGAGCTTTTGGTATACATTATAAAAGTACAAATATTTTGAA